CATCATTTTGTGATTGCGTCATTTCTTTGGACAATGTTGAGCAGTGTGCTTTGGTTCTCCACAATATAAACATAATCCTTCTTGACGACGACGAGTCTTTTCTTACTCAATAAGAAGTTTGAAACGTACTGCATCAATTTGCATATCCTCTACTTCCGAATGTATGTGTTGAAGAGGTGTTGGTGTTGCCATTGAATTATAGTAACGTTGAGGTCCACTTGTACGGTTCTCAGATCAGAATTCAAAAAGGTGATTGTCACACTTCACAACAAATTCAATTGCTTGACTCAATGTTTGAGGATCAGATAAGTTGAGCATTAATTTTTTTACCTCATATTGTAATCCGTAGAGAAATTGGCTAATATGTGCAGCATCATCCCACTTGATATCAGTTACAAGTTGTCGAAATTGTGAAGCATATAACGTTACTGATCGATTACCTTGTCGTAAAATACGGATCTTATTGGTTGCAATACGAATTGCATCATGCTTTCCATACATGGATCGAAACTCCGCCAAAAAAGCTTCTAGATTATCCAATATTGGATCTCGTCATTCAAGAAAAGATGAAAACTATGATAGTGCTCAACCTGAAAGAAGCGTACCAATGAATCTAACTTGTGATCCTGGAGTTGGATAGCTTTGGGGTTGAAGTTCAATCACCAGTTGCACTTGATTGATAAATCCTCAAAACTTGGATCTAGTGCCATCAAACTTCTCGGGTAGGGCAATTCTTGGTTTTCTAACATTTGAAGGACATTCCACCATAGGAGAAAGGACATGATTTGGTGCAGATGTTGAAGCAACTCCAACCATTTCTATATCTTCACTTCCTACCAATCATGTTGCTCCTTGTGGTGGTAAATTGAGTTGATGCATCGCAAGCATTAACTCCCTCAATTGCTCTTGCATTTGTGCCATTGCACTCTTTATTTCGAAAAGTTCTGCCATGATAACACTTAGAAGAGAGAAGATGTCTAATATCGCTTAGGACAAATAGAAGAGAGGACTTGAGGACAAAGAAAATGATAAGGACAATATCAGTTTAGAAGAGGGTAATCCGCAACTTCTAATATGCTTATATCTTATCAAGAAAAAGGAATAATCTACTCTTAATCAAGATTAGACAAAGCTCTGATATTGTAGGTGTACTCTTATCAATCTGTCAAGGACAAGAACTTGATAAAAAAGAAATTCAAACAAGTGAGCCTTCACTCAAAGAAAGGCAACAAAATCTAAATAAAGAAGTATGTATATTGAAAGAAAAATTGGAATGGCTATTGCCAAAAGACAAGAAAACTAGAGACCCTTGAAACTAGACTAGAAACAAAAAAGGAGTTGAGAAGAGTGAAGAAGCCTTCACTCTTGTCTCTATATATACTATCTAACTAGAGGCTACGTGGCGACGTTCTATAGGACCTCCAATATGTGTTGACTTTGTAAGACACATGCCTTGACTTACAAGGCAAGTTTTTCTACATGTGGGCCACATAGTTAGCTTGATCTTCAAGCTAACAACATGTGTGGCACATGGCCAACTTGTTGACTACGTTTCTAATCCAAAAAGTCAATTAAAGACACCTATGAAGTCAAAGCAGCGTCTAGGAAGCTTCTAAGAAGCTTTCATATTAAATAGTATAGAATTAACTTACTTTTACCTACTTTTACTGACTTCTACCTATTTGTATATGTAATTATTAGCTTATATGATTATGGCCGTGACATTATCCCCTCTTCTAGAGACGAGTTCCACAAGGAGCGGTCATCATATGTTGAGAAAATCTATGATGCGACGAATTGTATTCGCCACATACTCTGATCTTTGTTCTCTTCGAAGATGATTGATAGTTAATATTAAATACTATAGAATTAACTTACTTTTACCTACTTTTACTTACTTCTACCTATTTGTATATGTAATTATTAGCTTACATGATTATGGCCGTGACAAATAGCCATTTCAATTTTTTTTTGAAAATATATTTTTACTTATTTCTTTTTTGTTATCTTTCTTTGAAAAATATCTCACTTATTTATTTTCATTCATTAAGTTTTTGTCCTTGATAATTTTTCACCTATGGAAATTAAAGAATTTATTTTTATTGATATAAGAACAAGATTAGAAAAAAAAAAAAAAAAAAAAAAAAAAAAAAAAAACTTTTTAAAGTTTGATTATACATTTACTTTGAATGATTTGGATAAATATTGAATTTTTGAGAGCTTTTTAAAGTAAAAAGTATTTTAAGTAGTTTGGATTTTTGAAAAATAAAAGAAAGTATATATGTTTAAGAGTTATGTGAAAATTCTAGTATATTGACGAGTAAAAATTTGTATCCTTGTATAACTACTTTTAAAAATTTTATTTTATAAATTAAAACTTAATCTAGCAAATAAATTAAATATTATCAAAATTTAACTAGAATAGGATTTTGAAATTTGGATTTCAAGGATCAATAGGGATTTCTTTAATTTTGAGTAATTTACAAGTTGGATCAAAGCAAATATTTATAAAAAAGTTATAAATTTAATTTTTAATGATTTTAAAAACAAACAAAAGATTTAATAAGAATTTATTACTTCTACAAGATCAATATTAAGATTGGAGAGGGAAAAAACCAACACCCCAACAATTAAGGAGTTTTTTTCTTGCAATTAAAAAGTTAGATATATTTTTTTTAAAATTGATTCTAATTAACTATTGGATTGCAATGAGTGCAAAAATTTAAGCAAGTTCTATGGTTTAATCAATAATTATTGAGGTTTTAAGACTATTCAAAGGTTGATTAGAATTTATTAGGTTTTGGATAGAGTTTCAATAAGATTTGTAAGATAACTTTAAGATTTTTTTAGAATTCTATTAAGACTTAGTTTAAATTTATTTAATTTTTTAATAATTTATACAGAATTTTATTAGGATTTATTTAGGATTTTTATAAGATTTAATTAGGATATTTTAGGATTTAATCAGAGATTATTTAGAATTTTTTTAGAATTTAAGAAAATATTTATAGTTACTTTAAATTTTTTATAGAAAATTTAAAGATTTTTTTATAAAATTTTTAGAATTCTTTAATATTTCTTTATATTTTTTTAACAATTTCTTTAGGATTTCTTTAATTTTTTTAATATTCTTCTTAATTTTTTTGATGTTTTTTTATAGATTATATAATAATTTTTATAGAATTTTTAAAGATTTTTTAGGATCCAATTAAGTTTTATATATAATTTTCAAAGATTTTTAGGTTCTTTGTATGTTGCAAATATAATTTACCTTCCACAACTAGATGTCTAATGTATTCCTTGGTTAGTTTTCACATAGCACAAGAATACTACCTACAATAGATCTACATATTCTCATGTATTTTTGATATGTGTTCTTACCATTTTCAATGTGCAACTTCACTCACTACCTATAGAATGTGCTTATTGGCTCTAAGATTCTAAGGTCTCTATTGCTACTTTAATAGTATAGCAGTAGGAATTCAAACTCTAAGTGCTATAAATCTCTTCTCCCAAATCTCACATTGTTGAAAGGCTACTAAGAATTTTGATGCCTTCAAGGTATGAAGTTCTTTCTAATTAATTCACAAAAAAGCTTTTATAAGTTGATCAAAAGATGATGTCTTGCAAACATCATAGAATTTACTCAACATGCAAAGAGCAACCTAGAGTACCAAACTTTAATATCATGTGAAAAAATATAAAATATATATATATTATTAATATATAAGTTTAATGTTGTGAATATACATGAGCTTAATGTCTAATAAAGAGATATTTAAGAGAATTAACCACATGAAGTGAGGCTCCACTTTGGACTCTTGTAGCATAAATTTATAGTTTATGACAAAGACTTTATAGTGCCAATACAATAACAACTAGCTTATTACCAAGGTCCATTTGACTTTGAAATAATCATCTTGTTATACCATTTGTAGCTATATGGAAGTACCACCAACTTATGGTGGCTACAAGTTTTCAATGAATGTTAACTTGTTGTCAACCGTCCACTTACTAATCAAATGCATAATATCAAATAGGAGTTATACATATATCTAAAAATTCTTTAATAATTTTATATACAAGAATTGAGCTTCTACTACAAACAAACCTCTAGGTATGGGGACTTGAATCTTAAAATAAAATCAAAACACTTCATCTTTTACAATTGAGAGAGAGAAAATATAAAAGTTCAATACCTTATTTTCAACCTAAATTTTCTTAAATGGAGCCGTGGTTGGTTTTCCCCATCCTTGAATGGCTCTGGATTCCTTAAGCGATGAGCAAAGCGGTGGAGATAGGACCCCTGAGGATGATGTCGGATGGACAGAGCACCTGGGGTGGGCACGACGGGGATCAGGATGACAACGACGGTGATGGTGACGACGACGACGAGGGCGATGGGTAAGCGGAGGTTGGGATTCGTTCGTGGGAAGAGAGGCGAGGGGGGTTGTTGCCGGTTGTCGTGTTCCTTGGAGGAGCTGGACATTGGCAACGCTGTCGTCGTCTCCGCTGAATCCTCTCCCATCGCCTTGCATCGCCTCGCATCCATGCCCGTCTTTCGCGTGTCACGCCCGCAGCATTCCAGCGTCTCAGCGCCAAATCATCTCGACTCTCATCCCATCCCATCCCTCCCTCCCCCCCCCTCCTGCCGCTGCCTTCTCAGTACCCTCGCATTCCCGTCCTCTGAGTCCTTCTCTCCAACCTCAATCCCCTTCTTGCAGCTGTCGCTATCTGCCTTCTTCCATAAGGTTGCTCCGTTGCTGACCCTACGTGATCGTTGCTGCCACCGCCATTTCTCACGTCTCGGTACTCGCACGCGTCTAGGGTTTCCGTGCCCATTTCAATTTTGATTGCGGGTTGCACTGGGGGTTGCACTTTTATTTATTCATTTATTTCTTTTGAACGTAGCGTAATTGCGGCGTTGGTGAGTGGTCGAGCGTGCGCAGTAGAGGATTTATGGTGTTCCTGGAGGGACAGGGCCAGAAGTGATGGTAGGCGAGTTTGTTAATTTATATTTTATGTGTGGTACCGACTCGGGGTATTGCGGCGGTTTTATTTATTTATTTATTTATTTTTCCTGGCGTATTCAATGCTTGTTTAATCCGATGTTGTGTTTATAAGTTTCGGGAGCTTTGTGGCGAAGTGACGTTTTCGGTGTCGGAGCATGCCAAGTGGTACGGTTACGTGTGAGGGAGTCGGAGAGCTAGCAGTGAACTCTCACATTTCTTCGACTGCGTTGGTTTGTGAGCTACGTTATTTCGTAATATTTTTAAGGCGTTGGGCTTCTTCTTGCCATACACGCTGGCAGAAGGTCGTCCGAAACGTGACATTCTTGTCATTGTGCTTTCGCCCCTGGAAATTTTCTGGCAGTAATATCATTGTAATGGCAATGATGTGTTTCGTCTTTGAAATATGGAGGCCAGCATGTGGAAGCGGCATTGTGACTCTGGTTTCACGCGAAGTACAGTGTGCGTCTGACACTGCAATAGTCTTTCATATTGATCTTTCGGAGGAGTTCCTACTCCAGGTCGATTTTCTTGCGAGAGGGTTTTACAAAATAATTTAAAACCGTTTTTCTTTGGATCTTGTGGCAGGTCTTTCTTAGAGATTTTCTTTATTGCTTCGGCAGTAAGAACTATCAATTCACGCTATCTGAAAGGTTCAGGTGAAGAACACAATGGATCGGTACCAACGGGTAGAGAAGCCACGGCCTGAAATTCCAATCAATGAAAATGAAATCCGTATTACGACGCAAGGGAAGATGCGGAACTATATAACCTATGCAACTACTCTTCTGCAGGTAATCACTTCGGTCGCTTTCGGAAAACGTAGTAGCTCTAGGATTTAATCTTTTTGTTTCCTTGGGTTTTCGACGGACAAGGGATCTACAAGTTTGATGCAGCCAGCTTTCGAACCAGGGACTCTAGTTGCAACCGTTTCGTAGCTTAATTTCGACCTCATGTATCAGAAAATTCACTTTCAGTGGAAAAAATCTTTTCTTCTGCGGAACATTTTGGAGAAGTTATTTGAACATTTTGATCGCTTTGATTCATAAGTATCCGATCATGCAAGTGTACCATTCTTGATCAGGTCTTATGTTTCGAAACATGTTGCAATAAATCTGCAATCTATTAGACCTTCACGGCAATGTGGCTTGAACACTTATTAATATATACTGTATTATAACATTCAAGTTTTGACGTGTTTATGTAGTGTTACAAGAGATATTCGCATTTACAGCCCTTTGGTGTCTTGCATGCTAGATCTGTGCTCATTGACCATCTCAGTGCTTGCATTCCTATCAGCCTGGAGTTTTACTGATTTTTATCTAGAAGTAATTTATTAATAGAAATCAGGTTTGTAGATATCACACACCAAAATCCTGTAATTAATGCGTGATTGAAAGAGTTGTAAGTTCCTCGTACGGTTTGTTGCTGTTGACTTCAAGACTCAAAGAATTGCTCCGTATTTCTCATGCAACAAGAGTTTGATCCTAGATCCTTATCCGTAACCCAGATACTGGTGGTTTCATGGATAAGTGATCTTAAGGTTTTATTTTTATTTTTATTTTTTTCTCTCGTATTTATTTATTTATTTATTTATTTATTTATTTATTTTTATATCTATGTGCTTCCGTGTGTTTTGATTGTTTTTGGTAGTGATTGTTAAACTTGCTAACTTCTAGCTAGTTGTCAGTAGATAAATAAAGGCTTACTGGTTGTGCATGATTTCGTGGCTGTACTGTTCTCACATTTTGAATGTGAATTGTGCAGGAAAAGGGAGCATCAGAGATTGTCCTGAAGGCTATGGGTCGAGCTATTAATAAGACAGTTACTATTGCTGAAATCATAAAAGTAATCACTGTACTGAATGTTCGATTGTACATTGGATGTTGCAAAAGTGGATGAACATCACTTATTTTGACGAAAGTAGACAAAGTCAATTTTTTAGAGATGTATAACACGTATCGTAGTTATCATTAAACCTAGCTCCAATTTTAAATTTCTTCTAAAAAGGTCTCAATATTTTCAGAGGAGGATTGCCGGCCTTCATCAAAATACTTCTATTGGATCCACTGATATTACGGATCTTTGGGAACCACTAGAAGAGGGACTTCTGCCGTAAGCATCTCTTATGGTTTACTTTCCTTTTTACTTTTGTGGAGTTTTGAACATCAGTTCCTTCATTTGTTTAGTCCAGATAATGCATCACAGAAAACGGTCTTTAGTATATGTGAGCATTTCTTCAGGGTACGGCGTGAGAGGAAGACATTTTGTTACATAAATTTACTGCTTCACTTGAATGTACTTTTAATATAATTCATCATCTTTATTTTCTTCTCGCAGATTGGAAACTACTCGACATGTCTCTATGATTACGATTACACTATCTACCAAAGAGTTGGAGACGTCGTCCACTGGGTAAGGCTTCTTGGTCTATTTCTCTTTTATTCAAGTTTGCCTAGCGGTGTCTAGTTTTGTGTTTCATATGTAACCTTTGGAATTATTTCCGTCCAGCTGTCAATTTTAGTTGGGTGCTCAAGTTTCAAGTTTTAATGTAATTTTAATGATAATCTCACTAACAGATACTGAACTATTTTTTTGATTATTAGTTCTAACTTTCACCTCTGATGCCCTTAACGTTTGAGCAGGTATCAGCCTCCTCTTCCTGCAGACCAGGTCAAGCCGCTGGCAGAATTTGAGTATGATGGAGGTATTACTCTTTCCCTGGTGTACATGGTTATCCATTCTTCTTGTAAATTTGATTATTTATTTATTTTTGTTTTTATTTTTGTTTTGTTTTTGTTATTTCTGGATGTGCCCTGGATCATATTACTCTTTTTCGAGCTCTCAACGGAGGCTCGAGCTTTCTGTGAACGTTTGAAATGTTCATTATTGGTGATAGAAGATCGATCTAACTTTCTTTTACCACTGTGAAGTTGTATGCATTCCTATTTTAGCTGATAATGTGAGAGATCATTCACAGATGTTATCATGCTCATTGGTAGTCTTACTGTGTTTCAGACAGCCCACCACGGGGAGACGGAGGCAGAGGCAGAGGCAGAGGGCGTGGCAGGGGCAGAGGAGGTTGGTTTGCTTTCATATCGGTCTAGGTCATTTGGTGGTTGTTCTATAGTATCGGAAGTGTTCAATATTATATTGGGATAATTTTTAGGCGAACCTGAACAATGCATGATTCATTTCACAATTAAATATTAGTCGATTTAAAAATTTCGGATAAATTTGTCTATATTTTTTATTTGGTATTTAATGCAGCAATAGTGAAGATATTGGGATCTCAATTGCAATAGCTTCTTAGTCGTGAAATCTTGACAGGTAGTGAAATGACAACTTTTGAATACGATGGAGGACTTGATGGTGGTTTGGTCCGTGGACGTGGCCGTGGCCGGGGTCGGGGTCGGGGCCGTGGTGGGTACCGCGGTAGAGGCAGAGAGCAAGACGCTGGTGGCTTTGACGAGTCTAATGCTGATGGACCTCCGCGAGATCAGGGAAATGACTTTTCTCAAGAGACGTCATACTCAGGTATGTGTACATTCGCATAACTCGAATTGTATTTAAGCCATATATGGTTGTCAATTTTTTTTTTGTTTCGCTTTTTTTTTTTTTTTTTTTTTTTTTTTTTGTTTGTTTGTTTGTAGTGGAAGGTAGTATAATCATATGAACCAAGTTTCTTTGATTTAGACCAAGTAGACTAGGTCTCTGTACATGATTGTGTCAGCTATTTACGGATAGTCCATGTTAACCTTGTCACGTGGTTATGCTGCAATATACGTTTGTCTATATTTGAGTATATATTGTTGGGATATTGAATCTTATAACAGAAGTCATTCAAATGTTTTATCATGAAATTTTGTTCTTGTATATGTAATGCTTTTTATAAGTTAACATGTTCGACATTATGCAGGTCGTGGCAGAGGAAGGGGTAGAGGTCGAGGTCAGGGTAGAAGCTCTCGCACAGACGGACCTCCGCAAGAACAAGGTCGAGCGGGTGCTGCTGCCTAGTGGCTGCTGCTGTTGCCATCGGAGAACATAAATTCTGGAATCATGTGCTTGGAGGCAGCTCCTTCAAAGTCTTCGAAGGAGAAAGCAGCTGCTTTTAGTGTCATATGTTGGCGCTAAGTGAAGTATGCATAAATGTGTAGAGTTGCGATACGAAAGCTGCTTTTTGCTGGTGTAGGGTTAAGATGGCCTCTCAAATTTCTGTATGGTGCTTCCTTGCGGTTGCATCTATGTATGTTTCATAGCTCCCGTTTTGCTGTACACCTGTCGGTTTCAATCTGTGTTTTGATGAGCATTGACTTCTATTAAACCAGTGAGTCGATTTTTTTCTTTCCCATTCCAAACTTCTTGTGACGACTCCTTTTGACAGGTAAGGTTTTGTGCAGTCTCAAGGAACGTTCATAAGATAAGTGATAGCTAGGAACTAGGGATGTTTTCCTAAGCAATACTGCATGTTAAGAAATTCTTCCTGGCAATGTACCGAGAGTTTCTGCTAATATTAAATTGATCCAAGTTGGTGATCTGAATCTGGAAGCGTTGATTTGCCCGGGTTAAAATTTGGTTAGGTCATTGTCACGTTTTATAATACGCTAAACTATTTATCAGGAAATTACTCGTCCATGAAATTTCATCCACTACCCCAAAACTCATGATCAAACCTTAGAAGGCTTCAACGATCAGGCCCGAGAGGACGAGACGAGATTGAGCGGAGTCTGCGTGGCATGCTGACTTGGCCATGCAATAGCCTGCCACTTGTCCCCTGCCCTTCCACTGTTTCAGGCTCTCTTGAGGAGATTTTGTTTGTCTTATACTGACATTAGTGCGTGGCAGACTGAAAGCTTGACCACGCATGATGTCGCCAACCAGTAATGGATGAGTATTCCATGTTGCAAGTGCCCACCAGCAGCAATTGTTAGGTTTCAGTGGATGAAATTCTCATGTGGCATATGTTACACTTTATTATTTTAAGTACTAACACTTATTTTATTTTCACACAATTATGGAGGTGTGAGGACAGCTTAAATTTTAAAAATCATAAAAAAACTACGATTTTCCAAATTTTAGAATCTTTCACCAAAATTAGCATGCTTTTATTTTTTGATTAAATATTACACATTAAGTTTAGTAATAAATGAGGATGAATTCTATTCAAATGACGATAAATATTGGCCTTTGGGTTTCTCTCATATTCAATTATTTATTCATATTTTGTTTTATTTCATTTGTAAATTTTTAGCAAAATTTAAAATTATTTTTAACGAAATTAAGCTTAGAAAAGAAGGAAGAAAAAAAAACTCAACTTTCTAATCTTATGATTGGTTGAAATCAGAACACCCCTCTTAGTTGACTTTGTAGTTAGAGAAATCAGCCAAGATAAAAATGAGAATGATTTTTTTTTTTTTTTTTTCCTTTGGTACCACACTAATGAGGATAAATTCTACTCAAATTCATCTCCATTTTAAAGCAAAGGCTCCAAGACTGTGGATGAAGAATGCTATCTTTGCCATCTCTTATGTTTGCCAAGCAGATATCTGACGGCTTAAACTATACACTAATTGCCAACTCAGTCCTTCCAAGAGCAAGTGAATACTCACACTTTTAAACTTTTAAGTTCTTGAGGTCCACGACAAACATCTCTTCAAAGCCCATTTTCTGCTTTCGCAATGGATACACTGTGAACTTAAGATTCCATCATCTGCTTTGACTATATTGAATAGCAACAAGCGGATATAAAAACATTAACACATTTCTGCTTCACCCTAAGAGCAATCGCGAACTCCAGTCAAGATGTGAAGTGTTGTATCATTGATTAGCTTTAAAATGGTCCACGCTTTATCAGGTCCTAGAACTACAAAAGGCAGCTTCTGATGAACATACATTTCGTGCTGTGCGAAACAGCACAAGAAACTTATGTAAAATACGACACACGAATTGATTCCTCGGTCAGATTAACATCAAAACCGCCGACGTGCAACAGCATATAGAAGCCACTCAAATCACAGAACATGCTTTTATCCTGCATGGCCGCAGCCTAGATGCAGAGACATCGTTTGCAACCTATCAAATATCTCTGATTCAAACGCATAAAAGGAGATCACGTTTTAAGTATCGGTGTCAAAATAGGCGGCGAGAACCAGAGGCACGAACTTCGGGAGCAATGTTGAACTGGTAGACAAACCCAACTTTGTCCTGAAGCTCTTTCCCAGCGTCAGACATGAGATGCGTCCTCACCATAGCCGACTTCAACTTCGACCCTTGGATCACGCTCTCGTCCGACGCCATGGCTCCAAAACAACAACAACAACAACAACCCAACCTCGCTCTTCTCCAAACTCTCTCACTCCCTAAATCGCACTACCCCAAGTCACACAAGCACACCAACAACGATCAAACACCTCTCAACCACCTCCCAACCCCCAAGGCACCTCACAACCCAACTTCAGAATCAAGCTCAAGCGCTGGACAATCCTGTTGCCACAGTGTGCATAATTCGACATGACGATCCGCTGTTGTGACGCGCAAGGCTCGTGAACGCGAAAAGAATCTATGATTCATGTGTACAGTCGCAGTTGGAGGCTCTCACTGCCAAGGCTCTCATCTGCTCTGCTTCCACAGCCCGTGTGCACAATCATGCAGCTGGTCAGAGTGGTCCTCTTTCATCAGCATCATTGTGGCTTGCTGCTGCTCATCTCGTTACCCCTTTTCTATCTTATATTGATATATTGATAGATATAGGGGAATGTTAAATAGACACATGTTTTTATTAAATAGACCCATCCAAGAATATAGTAATTATGATGAATGTGGTTAGTTTTTATTGGTTGCACACCTAATAATAGAGAAACGAATTTAGATTTATTTATTCATTTATTTATTTCCATGATGGTTAGAATGGATGGGTGGATTTATTAAAAACTTGGGTCTATTTAACATTCCCCTCGATGTATATATATACACATAATAAAATAAAAAAAAAAAAAAAAAAAAAAAAAAAAAACTTAGATATGAGACAAAGAAGCCTTCTTATTTGCCAAAATGAAAGAAATTGTGCCCAAGGACATGGATTCCTGCTAGTACATGCATAAACACATATAATTCTTTTATACACAAATGATCCTTGTTTTTAATTGATAATTTATAGATTTGTTTTCTTTGTTGTAGGACACTTTTTGTCAAGGAGTTTGATACATGCCTCATGCCTTATCATCATAAATAAGAATTTTGTTTTGCAAGGATACCTAATTTAACTCAAGGATCTTTAAACCTTTACAAGGCTTAACCTCTCGCTAAATGACTTTGTTAGAGGCAAGTAAGGATTGAAGAGTTTTCTAATTGTTGCAACGTGGTATATTTTATGGAAGATGAGCCTCTTTTGAACATTCAATACTCTTAATGGCAATGTTATTGTCTATTATTAATTTCTTTGATAATCTAAATTTTATTTTTTATATCTTCATCTATAAGTTTTGTAAAGATTTTTTTAAAAAATATCATCAAATATTTTACTCCAACAAATTTTACAATTATTAGATATTATTTTGATTTTTTTGATTTTTTTGATTATTATTATTATTATTATTATTGTTTAATTCACGTTATAAACATAAAAGTGATGATGAGTTCTTACTAAGAAAATCTTAGTAAAAATTCATGAGAGTTGTATCTTTTACAATATGCAATTTTTTCAACATCTCTATCAGCCATGTGAATTTGGTATTCTATCAAGTTTTAGGAAATCCAAGTAAAATACTCAATATTGGTCATGTAAAAACAAAAAAATGTATGTTTGAATTTAATGTCATTAAATTTGGTTACTAGATATGATTATATAATATATACAAGAAAATGATAAATAGATCCATACTTTTATTATATAGATTTACCCTTGATGAAGAATATGATAATCATAATTAATGTGGTTGGTTTTTATTGGTTACAAATCCAATAATAGGAAAATATATATACATATATATATATATATATATATATAATTTCATGACAATTAACATAGATTGATTGTTTTAGTAAAAAATAGGGTCTATTTAATAATTTCCTATATATATATATATATAAATTAATCGATAGTTTGTCTTTCTATAAGGTATCGTGCAATAAATGATTTATGTCAATAAAATTTGTAGCATTACTTCTTCTTTTCTTTTTTCTTTTCTTTTTGTTTTACATTGTTACAATCATTTTTGGATGTTATATGAATTATGCCTTGGTAGGGCTTCAAGCTTTTTTCTCTTTTACTTGTCAGTCTACCATTTAAAAACACAATCTTTTTGAAATGGTTAACGCCATTTTACTATCTTCCCCTGAGTCACTAAATCAAACAGTCATATTTATTAAAAACTTAGAATTATCCAAACTTTTCATTTACATGAAGAATAGTTTCAATTATTCATCCTCTTCAGTACCCAATCTCAAAATTGATTATGGTGACCTTTCCTGAGACAACTTGCATTCTTACTACCATTGCATTCCAAGCAGTTTGTGGACAGAAAGAACTTACACATGGTTTAATTATTTCTTCAGATTTAAACAGTTCATGCTTGCAGTCATTAAAGAACAAGAGAGAAGCACACGGCGTAATGGAAGCCAGGTGCACATGACATCTTGTCTGAAATAAGTTCACATTATCGAACGATGAAAGTGGCTCTGTGTCTACATTGATAAGGGGCTGTCAGGTCCGTTTACTGAGGTGGTTGCAATGGTGGTAGGCATCGCAGGGCAGGTTTTTGGTGTGTTACAATTGACGCTAGCTGCCTTAAGAAGGAATTCTACAACTCACAACAATTTTTTAATTTTTTTACTTTTTATTATTTGTTAAGTGATGAAAAGCAACTGCGGCTGCGGCTGCCACGGAATGGTTAACTAGTCATTTGAGCAACAAAATAATGTATCACATTGCAAGAAGGCTCAAGAGAAAGGATCAGATCACGGACCCATTCCTGCTCCCAAAACATATAAGTACAAGAGCACGCCAATAGAGGGAGGTTCCATCATTACTAAGCGCTTGGATAAGCGCAGGGTGGCGGATTGTAATCGTATTGCAGGCAAATATGGTTGCAGTGTTTGATTTCATCTTCTCCCGACGCTATATTAGGCAATAAAAGATCTAACCCGTAGAATACTGTCACATGGCCGAGAGGGGGGTGCGAGAAATAAGAAAAGAAAAAGAGAAGAAAACGTACAAGCAACCCATCAATCATGGAAGCTGCACGGTAGTGCTACTGGATCGTTCGCAATCCCAAGTCCGTCCATTTGTCTTGGTTAGCCAGTAACTGCTCCTGATCTGTCCCACAGAACGCCCGCGTAACATCAAACCTAAGTCATCCTCTGAAGAGAATTCCAGAACTAAGCGTTTTTTAACTCAAAATGATTCCGTTGTTTACCCTCAATTCCACAAAGAAGTTAATGTTCTTACCAAATTACATCAACCCCTACAGATTACAGAGCAATGCATAATACAATGAAGGAACCCGAGGCAGAACCTCAAGCGAGAAGTGAGCTGGTT